TTTGGCCCGGCATAGAATACATCATCGCGAAAAGCGACACTTAATGAATTCGTAAACTCCGATGTCAGACACGGACTGCAGCAATGTCASTACTATGTTCTCAATACCTGCTATGTTTAAAATTTTTTGGATTTTTTTTGTGCATTATGAATTTATGATTAATCATTTTTTCGTGGAAATAGTCGCATTTCGGCTTAAAATAGAAAAATCCATGTCCGTACGAATAAGTCACGCAGTCTATTCATACGAAAAAAGAAAAAGCAATGAAAAACGTAATTCAAAAATTTCTAAAAGTAATCTAGTTAACCGTGATTCTAAAAAAATAGTCGTGAGTCGTGAAATCGCCAAATTTCTAGCCGTGAGTCGTGATGCGTACCACCCCATTGAGACCCTCATGTAGACGATGCTTTCAGTCAGTTCAACTTGACAGGTTTGATTCGATTATCACCAGTTACCCTAAGAAAGGCGTAGAGAGACAAAAAATAGTCCATTTTCAACACATTCACAGTTTTTTTCTACACATTCTCATTTCAGTCTTGTTTTTTGTCAAGTAAGATAATTCTACAACATAAATGGTAAATTTCCTTTGGACACTTAAAAATCCCAGCCTGTGACCCGTCTTTAACTTTTGCMCGAGTACGTAAATTAATTTCCAATTTACAGGTGGCCATGCAAATCTTACCTACTAATGACATGTGACATGGGTGACTTGGGTGTGTAACAGAATGACATGTTTGTGGTTCTGGTGCAAATTTAAAAGAGGGTAGCTACAAGGTTAACCGCCCTTCAGGAATTGCATGGCACTTTGAGAATGTCAATGAATTTTAGCACACACCTTTTATGGTTACATCTCCTATAATAAGTATGTATGCTTACGATCATTTGCTATCGAGTAAAAACGCCCCCCCCCCCCCTTCACCCCCTTTCCCCTCCTCACTTGTGTATGGAGTATCAGCTATTGAACACCCCCATTCAATTCAAATCATAAGCCGAGTAATTAGCCGAATACCTGATAAAGGTTTGACTAATAGTCGAGGTCAGTCATCTCATCTACTAACATWACGCCTAATGCTAGCGCTCACTATTGCAACTGGCCCTTCATTCATTCATAGCCATCATTCCATCGTTCCAGTATATATTTATGTATATTTTGGTATTGTCAGTATAGTTTATCGATGTCATCAGAAAATCTGATTGGTATTCGGGCTATCCTACTGTAAGCATGTATTAATGAGGAAGACAATGTATGGCAAATATGTCGTACATAATCTTAAGGAGTCGGAAGTCTGTTCATTGAGTGATAAATGTACTAAACACCATGCATTAGATGTTTTCCCTAGTTGCATCTATAGCTCAATGCGTGTGAATTGTGGTATTGAATYGATACTCTACAGCTCTCAGAAGGAGAAACAAGAGTTTTGAGCGTAATCTCCTTTTGCTGTACTAGTTTAAGATGGGTGAAACAGGTCAGTGTTTTGTATTCTGTACAAGTGATCTGGGAAAGTTATCGGATTCATTACAATTCCACTCTGGTCACGAAACAGAAGTTGGTTCACCACTATCATCTCCTAGAAGACCTTTCGGTTTACCAAGTACATTACCAGCATCAGAACGAAGTCTAAACGCTGTTGATAAAAAGGAGAAAAATGATAGACGCAGACTATCTCCAAAACCATCGAAAAGAACCAGGAAAATGTCGTTATTTTCTCAATTTCATTTTATAAACGCCCGCTCTGATGACAAACATGGAAAGTCCAAAAAGATATCAGCACCTACAATTTCATCTCTCGTACCATGCTCTACTCTACCTCTAGGTTATTCAGATGATATTCTACCCGATCTTAGCTCTGATTCATCAACGAGTAGTGTGCAGAGTATTCAAAGCTCGWCGAGTCTTCCTGTTCAACTGACTGTCGAAAGTCCTTCTTACTTCAAAAGGAAGAAATCTACAGGTAATTGCCCGGCAAGTAACGTGACGACTAGTGAAAAAGAAACCGCGACTGTTCGCGACATGATACTTGAAACGCTGACATTACAGTTTGAAAATGTCACGGAGTACAAACGAGAGATTTGTGACAAGCTTGGAAAAAACGTCAGTGAACTTGTACGACGACGTGTTGAGATAATGAAGGAAGGGAMTGGTCAGCAATGTAAGGTTGTTACATTAGTGTATGTAGGTGCAGTGCGTGACAAYGGCATAGATGTCACAACACAAGCTCTCCTTGATACCTACAAAGATTTGTTTACAGCTGCGAGTTATCGAAATGGTCACGTATTTGCCATGGCCGCCGCAATGGTTATMAGCCTCGACTGATAACGATTTGTGTCACTGTACCGAATASTTGACTTCTAAAATCGTTATTAAGAGTGATAAGAAAAGCTTGAGAGCGGACTGATAATCCTAGGATTGTGAWTGGACGTTGATTGGTATACAAGTCACAGTGAAAGAAGCCATGTTTATCATTTCRACATGGTATTTAGAATAGCTATCTGGCGTAAAGCATCATTCAGTGTCCGTCACGACATGACCCAAGTCTTTCTTGGATTTTGGTTATCATAGGTCGGGTTCCTTGTRGAACTGAGTGTCGACGGGAATGCAGTCTTTATATTATATATTTTTAAAGTCGTATCTATTTTCAATTYCTAAGTTGGGGAAATATGATAACGTCTTTTAAATTTAAGCATATATGGTTTATTAAGTAATAAAAGGAAGAAGCAAAGAAAAAAATAGTAATAATCTGCAGAAAACATTTTCAATTCATCTGACATGTGGGTTTSAAGATTTGAAGCCGAACTCTCAATGCACAACTAGCGTCAATAAGAACACACCGCCATTTTGTTTAGCGCAGTCGTAGCTCTAACAGTTCTTAAAATTCTAGTCAAGACGGAAATGGAATGGAAAGGATTAGAATAAACAATCAMSTWACACATACAACTACTTCAGTGTAAAAACCTACTTCCAAAACGTTGTCAAAAAAACAGTACATTTGTCTTTAGTAAAAAGGAATACATTAAAATTACAAAAGAAAGTGTTTAGTGAACTTTATCKTTTCTAATCTACTTCTTTTTACTCAACTTTCCTTTTGACAAACGTTTTTGCACATAATTGCAGATTTTGAAAATTYTAACTTTTTTYGCCCGAGCTTTCTCCCTCAGCGGGCATATTAAGGGTGACAACGTTATAATAACAAGACGTTGACGTGCTGCCCGCTTAGGGTGAAAGGTCGGGCAAATAAAGATTTGTCTAAGTAGATGAATCTGCAGTTGTTAGTCTACATCCAGCCTACAAACCCTTTTTCGAACGTTTTTGMAATTAGATGTCGATTCAAGGCCAAGAGTAGCMTTCTTACAGGCGTTCCTGYTTTGGGGGCCTGTAAGCAGGCTAGGCCAAGAGCGCTTGCACTGYGTTCATTGAGAATAGTCAATATTCCAACATGGCCGTAAAAACTGGATATGTTTTGTATCGGTTGGCTGACATGAGAATGTGACATTGTTATGAAGAAAGCATTCAAATTTCATTCAACTAATTTAATCATAATAATACAACGTGAAGTGTGCCGGTTTATCAATTGATAGTTAGTGAATAGTTAATATAATAAGATTGTATACAATATATATCACCGATGGTCTTTAGTGTTCGAATAATAATGACACCTAAAGCAGGTTATTTGTGTACTAACCGCCACCAGTCCACTACGAAAAGAAAAAACGAAGCAGCGATAGTAGAGACAATGGTAACCTTACCATGACCAACCTGTTTCAACCGGTGGCCATTTTCTTTTGTTCCTTCGAGTTCTTCTAACATTATTGAAACGACGAGCAAAATCCGAACAACAGACGACGATTGGAGGCTTAAACGATCTCTCAAGCTTTCTATAACTTTGTAGGACCAAGGGAAAAGCTTTAAGGTAAACTATAGTCAATATTTTAGCACTTTGCTTGAATAGTGAGGMGTTCAATTTGAGCTTATGATTTTACTGGCTAAAATACTACACGTTGCAAATTGGCTTCAGTCATAAGACTCAGGAGTAAATTTCACAGAAATTAAGAAGCAACAATATGTTGTCAGACACCCCATGAAAGGAACACTGGGGTCAGTAGGTTCATTTCACTTTTTCCAGTTGATTGATTCGCCAACAGTTAGTTTTACCGTCCAATGAACATAACGTTTAAAGTCCATATACCTTTAATTTGGTTTGCCATCATATTTACATCCAAAAGCATGTATCAGAATTTCCTTAACGATGAACTCTAGATATACCTAACATTTAATAATTGTCTTAAATCGCCAGATTTATTTGCTAACGAAGTCCAGCAAAATAGTATTTACTTCAAAAGTAACTACCTAAATTCAGTTTGCAAAGGTTGAAATTGTTGAATACAACGTTTAGTGTTCTATAAATCCTCCAAAGCAAAATAATTTCATTTGGTAAAGTTCTGTATATACGTCAATTTATGTACTCGGTTTCAGATAGAAGTCCGAGGTCCTAGAATCACCCATAAAAACGGTCCAATCCGCAGGCAACAGAAACCGCATCGCTCGGTCAACCGTTGTTTCAGATGCACAGGTACCAAGTGCTTGAAGGGACCGACATCTAGCCTGTCAAAAACTTATACATTGTAGTTTTTCATGTCGAGTTTAATWGCAATTTACGATGTATTGTCGCGGGTCAGAGGAAGCCATCATGGAACAGACGGATTACGAGAAATCATACTCCAAAGCAGGCTTTGTACCGGCGATGTTTTAATTTTTTTTAATATTTTTAAGTTAAAACTTACTCAAAACCTGTGCCAYAATGCGTTTATCTCAGAAAGTATCTAATGATCAGTGACAGTCCTAGCTAAATTTCGAAAGAAAAGTGAAGAAAAAAAAAACTGTTTTCTCTTAAAGTTGCTTTGTTTATCGTTGCCATGAAAATAATGATAAGCCATGATAAGAATAAACTTGCTATGAGTTGAGAGGGTCCACTCTATATGGCCAAACAAATCTATTCGACTATTTATGGCAAATTTTATTATCTTCTTCCAACCGAATCAAGAAAGTATTTTAATTTGTATTTATTCATCTTTCAGGGGAAGGAAAATCATAGGCATCATGAAAACTATCTTGGTCTTYCTTCTGTGTACTTTGCCTGTATTTCCAGCAATTTCCCTGCATAAAGGTAAAGCTCCTGGCCATGGGTATCTAGGGTAGTATTATAGAGTGATTAAAGCAAGGCAGATGTGCGATTTTACCACAATGCAATAGCCATCTTGAATTATATTAAACTAGGCGCTCTTAGAGCGTGAAGTCGGGCTAACTATTTCAGAGAATAGAAAAACAAACAGGATATGACATGGTTGCGCAGATTCGCGACGAGCGAAAGATTTCCAACACGATAAGATCAAAACTTCGTATCCACAAGCGACCATGCAATATTCTGACTATTATAATTGTATATGAAAATAAATTATGGCGTAGAATACCTTTCACTTTGACCAAGATGCAACTGTACAATTGTTTGCATAGAAACAAAGAAACACAAGTTGGAAATCCGTTTGACTAACACTCTGCGACTCGGGCGGCAGTATTTTTGTCAGCCAGATTGTGTTTCCAACTTTGCTTCTGTTTTCCTTTCCGAATCAAAGTGATGTTTTTATTGAAACAGGGGATTTTGATTTCAGGTAACTGTATTGATAAATATCATCACTGTAAGGAGTGGAGTGATGCAGGCTATTGCAACATTAAAGGATACACGACATATATGGATTTGATGTGCTCGTACTCATGCAGCAAATGCCGAGGTATGGACAGCCCTCTTACCCGTCTGCTTACAACTGATGATATGAGTCACTTCACTTATCCAGTCATCTTTTAAAAAAGTGTTGAAGACAATATCTCATTTCGCAATTCATGAAAGATTCAAAGATATATATTTCGAATACAATGAACTTTTAAAAGAGTTAACGCAAATGCAGATTATTGAAAATAGATCGATGATCAGAGCGTGATTATGAAACGGACCTCAGTGTTCCCCATTGATTGTATTAGAGGCTTCAATTGCCAACTCTCTCATAGTGAATTCTAAAGGTTGAAATGCTGATAGTCACTCCAGATATCAAATGGTTGAAACTATTTTGATAGTACTATATATTGAAAAATAGATGTACCCGGTGCCTACGAAACGCAAGAAAGAGAGGAATAGTCTTCTTCACGATTCCTTACGCCATCTTGAAAGGTAGCCGTGCCTTTGCAAGCGAGAGACAAGCGTTGAGCGTGCAATGATAGAAACCTTCTTTCACACCTACATACAATTATTAATAGGTTTCTATCATTGCATTTGCATTTGATGCAAAGGCTAGGCTACATTTCAAGATGTCGCATAGAACCGTGAAGGAGAATATTGAGCTTTTAAGATGATTATAATCAGCTTTATCAACTCGGTCATATTGCCCTAAGCCAATGTTAATTTTTATTCAATTTTTAGATCATATAGAAGTAACAAGAGCATCAGGAGAGGAAAAAGACGATGATCTCCAGTTAGGATCAGGATCTGATTTTCCTACTGAAGAAATCTCATCAACCGCCGATGAATCTAAAGAAGAAGTTAGTTCAAGTAGCGAGGAATCATCCTTCAAGAAACCACGTCCAAATGATGCTGTGAATCCTAATGTAATAAAAGACAATGGGAATAAAAATGTCAAACAAGAACGTTATGAAGACGCCAACCCACCTGGCGTTCGAAATATTGCTATGCCAAAAGACCTTCCAGATGAAGTCAACCCACGTTCAAAAATAACCAAGCCTATAAGTCAACTCAGTCATATGGTGCAGACTCTGAAGAAAACAATTGCTCAATCAAATCAAGCCAATCAAAAGGCTATGGCTGATCTTAACTCATCTAATTACGAGTCATCAACGGATCAGGGGGACAGCCAAACTTCAGACAAAACACCAGCCAATCAGGAAGCTTCAGGGTCAGCAGGAAGCGCAAGTGCAGAGGAGATGAAAGACATTGCCGGAGAAGTTCGAACAGGTTCAAAGATATTTGAGGAAGACGCGTTTGAATCTGAAAGCACTTCTGGATGCTCCTCAGGGTATGGATGCTACTCTGAACCCAGTGATCAAGTGCGGCAATCTCAAGATGATGAAGTTCAAGAACTTGAATCGAGATCAAAGATTGATATCCCAGAACCACAAAAACAAGCAAGAATCAATGGTAATTCAGCTATCGACAGCCATGGCGAGGATGTAAACGGTGTGGCTAAGACTACAGATATTGATGCACCAACTAAACAAGAGGACAAGGCGGCGAAAGTCGACATCGATTCTCCGAAAAAGCAAGATGACAAAACAGAGAAAGTTGACATTGATTACCCAAAAAAGCAGGATGGCAAAACAGCGAAAGTTGACATCGATTCCCAGAAAAAGCAAGAAGACAGAACAGCGAAAGTCGACATCGACTCCCCGAAAAAGCAAGACGACGAAACAGAGAAAGTTGACATTGATTCTCCAAAAAAGCAAGATGACAAAACAGAGAAAGTTGACATCGATTCCCCAAAAAAGCAAGAGGACGAAACAGTGAAAGTTGACATCGATTCACCCAAAAAGCAAGAGGACGAAACAGTGAAAGTTGACATCGATTCACCCAAGAAATACAAAGTCGAGAAAATTGACGTTGATCATGATGCTTCAACAAATCACGCTGTTAAAACATCTAAAATAGATATTACTGCATCTCAAAAAGAAGCAGGAAAAAGCAAAAACATTCATAAAAATGTAGATCAAGAGAAAATAGTAGATAAACCTCAAAACAGTGATATTACCACTGGATCACAGAAAGAAGATGAAAAACAAGGCAGTATTAGTCATAACAAAGATCAAGTGGAGGCAGAAGCTATTGAGGGCAATAGTGGAAGTGGCGAAAATGCCCCAAATACGTTGGAATTGCAAAATGATCAAGCCAATCACAAAGAAAAGAATGCCTGGAATCCACCTGAAGACACCGCCAGTGGGTCTGGCAAGGGATTCAATACTGCCACAAAGTCAAGAGAAGATGGCGGCATCGATAAAATAATAAAAGAAGACGAGGAGGAGGAAGATATCGATGGATTAAAAACAGAGGTCGAGTCGACAGAGAAATCTAACGAAGAACCAAAGGTAGTAATGCATGGTGAAGAGACGTTAGAGAAAAACGATGATGACAATAAATCGACAGGTAAACAGGTCAATGAAGAAGTGAAGGAAAGTGGTTCAGGATCACAAGACACTGAAGAAGACAACATCGAAGATGCACTTTACGACAAAGACATGAGAAAGACGTCGCCCAAAATAGAAGAACCAAAAACACCTAAAGACATTTCTTCATCTAAAGCTATTCAAAATGTGACTATTGACAATAACAAAGGCGACAAACTGAAGAATGAACCAAGCATCAAGGATTTAACATCGCCCAAGAACAAGGAAAGATTGACATCAATAGAGAATCTGATAGCAAATGGTAAGCTTAAGAGAAAACCATACGCTGAGACAACGGCACGTGCAAGGGAAGAGCTTCCGAGAATAGAGAACAAGGAGGCAGATTCAACTTTTCTTGCTAACAAAAYAGGTAATCAAACATCTTTTCTATGAATTACAGGTTGAAATGTGCCTAGATTATTTTCTTAGTGCAATTGTTTGTTCTGCTATTAATAGCAATTGACTGCTCATCAGGTAAAAGTCATCGAGTTTCTGTGATTCTCGACCAACACTTTTACAAGCCGTATAACAATGAAGACTCCATGGCTTATGAGATGCTAGCACTAGACCTTAAAAAGGAGGTAAGAGAACACATATACCCCAAATGCGCAAAACCATGATGTCATGAAGATAGTACCGAATAACATATGCTGAATTTGCAATGATTTTGATAATGGCAATATATTTCTCTTTAGGTGGAGCGAGCTGTTGGCGGTCAAGCGTTGGTATCACAAATCAAATTTAGGTAATTTTAATTTGCAAAAAGACAAATGTGATTCTAGTAGAAGATGATGTAAACCGATGTGCAATCGATATCGATTAATTCTAACCCATAGACGTATTTTTTTGTGCAAATATGCACATGCATACTGGTGGTGCTAGTTTTGGAGAATTGCCTTAAATTGTTCTAAGCCATCCAACATTTAGCTTTTGGCCATATTTCTTTGATTCAAACATCGACAACTAATTAAGTTCTTTTTTTAGCGAAATTAAAAAGCCAGGAAAACTACCGAGCTATTCAAGAGTACTAGCAAGCTTCAGGTTTTATGGAGACGAGAAGAACCTTCACAAGGCTGTTATGAAAGGTCTCGTTGGCGATATTATGGTAGACAAGGCATTTTATCAGTCTTCTTAACCACGCGCTCAAAGGTTTCTAACTTTCTCTCTCGATTTGCCAATCTCGTACTCGGATCCATTGTATCGTAAAGACCACGCGTAACGAAATCTCTTGTCAGTCATGCACGGTATAGAACAGTGACTAGGGTACATGATTGGCAGACCGCATCCTTTCATGTTAAAATTCAGCAAAGACGATAAAAGAAAGGAATAAAACTTAATGACAAATAAAAAAAGTTTACAATCTGCTCGGGGATATGTGTAAACACTGCAAAGCGTGAAACATTGCTGAACAACAGGGTTTATTACTGAGGATTATGGTAGGACTACTACACGGTGCAGCAGACTAGCGTTCCATATCATCTAGGAAATTTCTGAATACTCTAGAAAGTCTTAAAAATTCACATTGGTTTGATTTTAGTACTTTTTGTCTTATGTCATGACGTATTTGGCCATGACTTACGAGTACATAATTCAGGCAATGTAGTTATTCAGTGCGAGAAATCGTAGTTTCACGAGGAGTGTTTACACACAAGTGTTTGGTACATTTCAGCAATTTAAATGATATAAAAGGGGCTGTTTTCGTAAAAAGGTAGAAGTATAATTTCCTTACTATAGGATACATAAAATTTTGTAGAAGTTAATATATGAATTTCCAATAAAATACATTATGAAATTGCTATAAAGAGGAGTTTGTACGTTAATTACTTCTGCCAGGCCACTGGCCGGGCACGAGGCTTAAAATGCAACACGTATAGTTTTTTTTTCATGGACACAAATTTGTCTTCGGGATCTCCCGATTGCCCTGCGATCTCTATACGGAATGACGTCATCATCGCACCTATTCATAATAAAACACCCCGAAGTTATAACTCATATAGTAGCGATGTCAACAAGAAGCTAAGGGAGACTAGGGAGATTCAACCTCGTACCCAGACCCTGCACTCTTGCCATCCGTGAGAAACTCTGGATTATATTGTGTTTTCACTCAACTCGTGAATGGTTGAGAATGACGCGAGAAGGCATTGTTTTCAAGATCGGTTTTCAAGTCGCCAGCGCTAGCTTCATTTGTCACAAATAAGAGGGTCTCAATCGGGTGGTACGCATCACGACTCACGGCTAAAAAATTGGCGATTTTACGACTCACGACTATTTTTTTCGAATCACGACTAACTAGATTAAGAAATTTTTGAATTACGTTTTTCAGTTACTTTTTCTTTTTTTCGTATGAATAGACTGCGTGACTTATTCGTGCGGACATGGATTTTCTCTTTCAAATAAGCTGAAATGCGACTATTTCCACGAAAAAATGATTAATCATAAATTCAGACACAAGAAAAATCCAAAAAGTGTTAGCAGGTATTGAGAACATAGTACTGACATTGCTGCATTCCGTGTCTGACATCGGAGTTTACGAAATTTTATAAGTGTCGCTTTGCGCGATGATGTATTCTATGCCGGGCTAAATGTGCATGGTAAAATCAGGAAGTTTGCAGCGTATTCATATTATTATTTGACTCTAAACAAAATTATAGTATTTTAAAATCGAGCAGATTTAGTTTCTTGTCACACTTAGCGTGACGCAGGCACTAAATCTAAGAAAGAAAAAACCTTTTATAACTAATTATAGTATTTTAAAATCGATATCTTATCTAATTACAGAAAATTTCAGAATATATACAATGTCCGTACGAATAGGAAACATAACTCAGCCACTCTGTTTAAAAATTGATATCTCGGTTGCGCAATCGCCGCGCTGTGAAAACCTATTATACGCTAAATGAAAAAAAGCCAATGAAAGCGCGCTTTAAAATATCGCATTATAGAAATATATAGAAACTAGACCCTGTATGCAGGGTTGACACGTACCCTTTGTTGTGCATGATGTTGTGAGATCATTAGTAAATGAGGCCTTATTGGAGTAAATGAGGCCTTATTAAAACCTTACTGATACAGAATAAAGAAATGATTTGATCCATCGAGCCTTGCCAAGATATATGTGATTTTTGCGATAAGCTTATATGTGGTGGCTCTTAAAATTTCAGCTGTAACTGCCTTTGTGATTCTGCAGTATAATTTTAAGGTCAGATATACCCGGAGATATATAACTAGGCATGATTTGGTTACAACGTGACGCTTTATTAACTTTTGATATGATAGTAACACAATATTTTTGCACATCTACATTAAAACTCGACATATCTATTGCAGATGTTTGAATAGCCATGGAATTAATAAGCATTTTCTAAAGAGTYGTATTGATATTCAATCATTGGAACCCAATCACTATATCGTTGCCGTTGCTTCACGAGTAGTAAGCGTGTTGATCTCTGTATTGAGATCTCCTCGTCATCACAATTCAACATACCCTTGGTCCGAACACCCAGACAAGTAATGAGTTCCAGATTTTGGTCGTAAACCTTCATGTTCTGTTCCATATTCGTTAGTAGAGACAATATTCATCAAAATGGCGGATAAAACATTGTGCAGAACGAGTTGGAAATGTTGCGAACGGGATTATCGACAGGCTATAGCGTTCGGAATACACAACGTAATGTGATTGGCTACCGGATATATAATTCACAATGTGATTGGCTACGAAGATGTACCGAAGCCAAACTTTCGACATTGTGAAAAAAAAAAAAACCCAAGAAAGTGTCAGCATTTTACTACACGTACCCCCTGCATAGCAGGGTACGTGTAATAATTACTGAATGATTCTGGAGATATTGCAAACAATTATTAATGTAGGAAGCTAATCAAAGACAACAACAAAAAGAAAAAAAATATGAAAAAAGAAAAAACTTGAGTGGTGGGATTCGAACCCATGACCATAAAATCGAAAAAAGGTTGGGACGATTCCCCCGAGACATTCTGTGAAGCTGAGGCGGCGAATCGATTTACATTACGGTTAGAGATTTCGGCTCTTCCATGCTATCCCGATAATTGGTCCTAACTTCGCGCTAACTAAAAAGCCAGTGAGGGAGAAGCTATCCGGCCCCTAGACACTGATGGATAACCCCTTGCACTAACTAGGCAACTATCGAAAGTATAATTTCAAATTGGGATAGTCTATTCGATGAAAGTGCCAATTGGTCTATTATTATGTAAATGAGAGTGATCCAGTGGCGCACCGCGTTAAGGCGCCGCTTGCAAATCCAATGTAGRTTKGACGGTAGCGGGATCGATTCCCTGGACGAGACGTTTACTGATTGTGTATTTTCATTTCTATTTTATTTATTGTTTATCTTCTTTTTTTATTTATTTATTATTTTTTTTGAAGAATTATTGTCATCTCTTGTGTTTGGCACTTTCCTGAGAACCGACTTTTTTTTACGAAGTGGCTTTATGATCGGCTCCCGCTCAAAGTCTTCGATGTACTAACATACTAAATGAGTGCTAGTTTTGTTTTGGAGATTTTGTCGGTACATTTGTACCGCTCATTTAGGAGGGTCTCAACGGGGTGGTACGCATCACTACTAAAAATTTGGCGATTTCACGACTCACGCCTCGAATCACGGTTGATTAGATAACTTTCAGAAATTTTTGAAATACGTTTTTCATTACTTTTTCATAATTTGTTTTGTGCTAGAGATAGTGAGTGTGGTAGCACAGTTTTCCCTTGTACGTTATAGACACTTTTATCATCACTCTCAACATGTCAAATTTTGTCCGTGCCCTGACTTGTCTGCAGGAAGGGACAAAACTGAATCACGGCTCATGCTATAAAAAAATATTCACGCCTCACGGCTAATTTTTTCGCATTTTCACGACTCACGTCTAATTTTTCAGCCGTTTCTTGGCTCACGGTTAACCCTATTGAGACCCTCAAATAAGAAATACTTTTCCCTCAATTCACACTGATATTTCCGCACATTCCTGTTTGAAAAACGTGTCAGTAACATTCCTAAGTTTAAATATTTTTTTTATTTCTCTTCTAAAAAACCGGAAAACAACTTCTATTTGCATTTAGCGCTTCCCCAGATTCCCCAAGAGTCTTTGCAGCGTCAGCATTCCGCTGACATTACCCGTGAAGACTCTTGGGGAGATCCATAACATCGCTGACCAGATTTAAATATTACACCGCAGACTAGCTGTAATAAAGAATGCGAATAAAGTTCAAATTTGAAGACTGACCTCCATTGTTTAACTCTGTCAAATTGATCACGAGCCTTTTTTACTCTGCTGATCACGAAGTGATCACGTGGGCCAGTCTGACGACTGCTTTTCCGCTTGATACTCAATCAAGACACACTTTCGTTCACTATAAAGTCCTCAAAAACGTCTCAGCTTTCTAAATGGCCAAGAAAACTTTGTTGCTTCTTGCACTGGTTCTGATGAACAACGTAATGTTCTTTGCGCAAAGTAAAACTATGTCTTCGGTCAAGAAATCATATCGTAAGTACTGACTTTTACCAGTTAACATTGTGACTCAGTGAGCTATAATTTTGTGAATTATGCTTATCAAATGTACATAGATCTATTAAATGAAGATCGAAATTTACATACAATTATTAAGATAAATTATGACATCTTATGAACTATCGATATATTTCAAATATAGTTTTTTTTAATATTTTAGAGAGATTTTTCAAGTAAACCCGTGTATAAGAGTC